GTGAGGTTCATTTTCCTACTACTCACTTTCTATGTTATTGTTCTCGCTTGAATTTTCGATATGAATGTTGAAAAATGGACTTTTTTGGCTTTGTCTTTCCTGGTCTTGCCGAAGACGAATCATTGCAGAAATAAAGCAATGAAATTCAATAAAGTTAATGGAAGACTTGGTAAACCGCTCCATAAACTCTACTGCGAGTTCTGCTATTATGCAGCGTGTAGAGATAATTATTCAATAGCAAGACCCCTTGATTCTTAGTGGCTGTTGAGCTAATAAAGAATTTTTGAAAGGTCATTAGTACTGACTTGAATTTCGTCAACCTTACAAATTTGTGCATAGGTGTGCATTTGACCGACGCAGTACGCTTGAAATGTTGTGATTCTGGATGACACGTGACCGTGATGTACTTCCGGAAGATATTAATCACGCTCTGAACTTTACGCTTTGCTATAGAGAGAGTTATTGCACGTGATAGTCTCACAAACCACGAATTGTTTTGGTTGAAGGATGGTAGTAAGAAGTTGATTACGCCTTTTTAGAATCACATAAACGTGTTTTATGTATTATTGGTTCATCGAAATATACGAAACGACATTATGAATGTTCATAAACCTTAGATTGCCTATAAATTTTCCATGTAATTCTACATAAAACTTTGCCTCCACTTTAATGCTCTTTCCATCCTTGGTAAACTGATGATTGGACTTTATTAAGAAATGTTCCGTATGTCGCAAATAAGCCACGAACTAATTGTTTTCCCTAAAATTCTTGGAAAGTGTATTTTTTACTAAAGCAAACTTGGAAAAGGGTCTTATTCCTCTAGACTTATGATTTCAACCAGTAATAATTGAATTTTACTTTAAATTAAATGCAAATGCAATTTTTGAAGCAGTTACAATTACATTCAGTTGAATGGATGACATGTTGAGCCGATTTATTCTGATCCTAAATTCGTGGATGCTTAACTCTTTAGCTTAGAGCAATTCTTTAGGAGTGCACCGTAATTTCTCTTGAACTTACAAAAAGGGTCCTGTAACACTCTTTAAAGGGTTGTTGCACTTCTAAGCAAAAGGTTTCTAAGGTTTCACAACCAGTTTAGCTGAATTGAATGGTGAAAATCGCATCTTACGACATCAGCCTTGAAGCCCCATAAGAAAGTTTCTGCTGATGAATCGAGCATGCACTCATCATTATTTCTGGGAGATGCTGATTCAAATGATGATGTCGAGTTTGCGTCAACCTTTACAAAACAACAAGATCCCTATAAGAGAGCAATCATTTCTAATCTAAAATCATTGTTATAAGTATTATATGCTACAGCTACGGAGGCGTAGTGACTGTTGAGACCTATTATGGGTAACTATGCAGCGGAACTAGTCTTGGTTCCTCTCAGTATAACAAAAATCTCTCTTCGGGTGCCCTTAAGAGTGTTACGGTTAGCACCGGGAGCTTAAGTTTTGCGAAAACTTGCGTGTCCGAATAAACGTGTTATTTCAAACCACTTACTCTGATCCAAAAAAAATCATACTATTTGCTGAGTCTTTGAAGGAATGGAGCAAAGCTTAAGTTTGGGGCCAGCATAAAAGTGACTTATTTATAATATCGTAAATTTTGCAAGAAAACTCGACTTTATAGCGAAACCGTCGCTGCTATGTAATTAGTCTTTCGCAAAGTATCGT